AGTTAGTGTCATTGATGTTAAGCTGATGGTCATGTTATTTCGTAGGAAAATTTTTTCCTGACCCTGTGGAGTACGTAACAATATGATTGCACACTTTTTGTTAGTTGTAGAAATTAGAGACTTTGTACATGATTTTTGTTTAAAACGATTCTTGCTGAAATACAACTGTTGCGTGCGTTATTTGACTAAACTTGCACACACGTATATTCTAGTACTTCTTCACTTTTATTGATGTGCGCAGACGTTGTGGCTACTCGACGCCCACAGCGTAAAATCAAGAGGCACTTGCGTAGAGTACTATCGCTTATTAAAGCAGTAGTCAAATTTCGAAATTGTCTCAAGGTAATGTTCAACAGTAAACTGACAAATGTTTGCGAAGTATATATAAAACTGGTCTGTATACACATATAATACAAGTGTACAAATTAGATAAAAAAGCATGTTTACGGTTGGTATAGGTGTACTTTACAACTACTTCCATGTACTACACGAAATACACCATACTGTTGGAGGCTTCGCCTTCTCTCTGGCCATTTCTGCTCACCTGCTACACTCATGCCATGTTGTATACTTTGGATTTATTGCAGGAGTCCATTATCATTATCCGAAGGCAACTCTATAACAAGTCCACAGCATCTGCCAGCTGACGCATTCCAACAGTGAACGCTTCCTTGGATTATATTGATAATTTTTAGCGGCGGACTTTAACGATATAATCAAGTAACCCTTTCATTAATATAAAACATTACTGCATTTTTTGATAATATATATTAACCCTATCGTCTCACTGACCTGGATTTTTATTTGCATATTTGTAATGCTAATGGGCTCTCCTACTAGTCCCCTACAACCCCACCCACCACCAAATGAGATTTTCTATATCTTCAATCACTGGATTTTAAAGCACACTGTATGAGCTGGGGCTTCTGGAAGAGAAAAATCTCATGTTAAACGTTCATTGACCCCAGCACTGTAGTGACATTGTGACATCTTGGAAAATTGACGATTTATCTGTCCTATTGGTAGGAGAAGGTATCGTTGTGCAAACACATGAAATTTTGTTGATAAAAAGAAAGTTTAATCAAGATGATAAATTGGCGAGGGTTACCAAAGTTATCTAATTATACCGTACCGCCAAAGGGATTCATTAGAAGATGCCCTAAACAATTGTTTAGGGTTAGGTCGGTTAATGCACCTGGGCAATGTGGTCAAAACTTGGGCTGAACGGGTAGTTTTGATAGGCAAACAGATGGGAAAACGGTGGTGTAAATGCAACAGATTTTACCCACTTTGTCCACACTGGCTACCTTTTCCCCGTTTGCACATTTCCGGATAAAATATTTTCGTCCCACTTTTTCCCAGTTTTCCCGCGTGACCCACGTATTCACCCACTTATCCCGTGTACAGAAATTAAAAATATACCCATCTCTTCCCCGTTCGCCCATGTCATTTTAGAAAATTGCCCACTTATTAACACTTTACCCATGTTACAAACGAAAACGGCCCAACTTTTCCAACTTTGCCCACATTCGAACGGAAAACTGCCCACGATTTCACCCACATATCCCAGGTCCAAAAAAGGGCAACCGACTGGGAAAGTCCGCCATTTTATTGCCCGTTACTGCTGGATTGGTAAATCCTGTGTCCACAATATGTACAGATGAATTCCCTGAGTGTAGTGGTTTATCGTCGCAAAGACAACCACTCTAATATTAGAGTGAGTTCCTTCGCCCGAGTACTGTTACCTACGAAATTCAATCAGAGAATGTAGGCGCAGTTAGAAAACTGGGACTTGAGCGACCAGTGGGCCACTAAACGATGTCACGTGGAGTTAACTGAAAGACTTTATGTAAAAATTGTTCCGAATCTTCAGTTAATACCCAAGAGCTCAATCGGGATCCAGAAAAGTGTCGATATAGTGGAAGATTGAACGATCAATTCATGGTTGTTTGCTCAAACCCAACTCCCACATATTTCTCGCGAGAGTCATCAATCCAGCAATCATCGTCTCGTCACTCGCTGTTTGGTGGAAGACGGAAAACTATCAGAAGTAGTATCGTGATTTATTGCTATAACATTTATTCTCAAACCTTGTGTGTAACAACCTTATTGTTGGTTACATATTGGCGTAAGAATAAGGGATTCTCGAGTCGCCAATCTGTATTCTGGTTTTTCGCGTTGGTTAATACAAAGCGTTTCTGGAGGTCCTCCAGGGACAGCGTGAGGTCCAGCGTAGTAAGAGCTGGACACTGACAGTTTCTGAGTGTGTTCTGACAATAACGCTGCACGATTTGGTGTAAATATATTTTAAATCCATTTAGAGATAACTTTTCTGCTTACGACAATTCTTCTCCAAGCACACATACGGTGAAATGCACAACTTCTTTTCCTTCAAATGTTTCTGTTAGTATTTAAAGAAATAAATAAATAGAGTTATTCTCATAGTACAGTACATGAGGGACGCCAGTTTGCAGGCATCATCAAATTGTTACAGAAATAGGACCATATCATTCAGTCACAATTTACAGTCAATAGCAAAATATGTTTAACATGTACACTGGAGATTATACATACACTTGATAAATGTTAATCCCAATAGTATAAAACATCCTTTTCACTTATGTACAATCGTTTCTGTGCATAGTTGGAAAAATCCGCTAGATTATCAGTGAGTGCAACACATCAGGAAATACAGAAGTATTGTCTTCGCATTAACAAAAAAATCTAGGTCTTTGGTGGATGGGTTATAAGTTCCTGGGAAAAAAAATAAAGCTTGAAGTCAGTTTTCATACATAATTTTGTTGTGTGAAGAATTCTTGAATTATAGTTCATTGATGTGTTATTTTGAAATCAGAGATATGTTTATCTCATTTGATCTACAATGTCATTGTTGGGAGTAAAATACATAAGCTTTAGACGCATCAATTAATGGATTTCTACTGCTTGTGTGTATTTTCATCTCGTGAGGAAGGTTTATCAATTTCAGCTGTTCCGACAGTTGTGAATATGAACTGCTCAGCAACATTACGGATATAAGTTCATCACATTATCTTAGGAAAGATGGGTTGTGGTTGGTGAGGCATATATGATGTCCGACGAGCGTACGTCTGTCCATGTGATGCTGTGGTGAGTTATATCTTTTTCATGTTGTCGGTTTATGTCCATTTTATTCCAATTATTGTGTTGGGTAGAAGTTCAACAAACGAAACTTCTTGTCTGTTTGAGGGCAAGTATCTTAATCGTTAATGTTTTATCTAAAATTATAAATATAGGCAGAAAACAACAGGTGTAGTATTTAAGCTTATACATTAAATGGACCTATAATTTCGGAGGCTCTCAGATAGGAACTAGAATTACTATTGTTTGCAAACTCTTGTAGTTTGTCGTTAAGCACTCTTTTGAAGTAGGCCAATGCACCTGCTTGACGCATTTCCATTGGTAGTTTATTCGATATCTGTTTATAAGTGATTCCCATATTCTGAAAGCACTTTTTGTCAAATAATACTGTTATTCAAACAAAAATATGCTGCATTGATATGTGTAGATGTGAAATCTCTATTGAATCATAATATGCCGAAATTCGCAGCTTCTGTATGAAGTAAACGATTTGTGCAAATAACATTATCCTTTAACTATCCCGTTTTCCTTATAATAGCGCTATTTTGCCACAGTTCGCCTGAAACACTAATCATTGCAACCAATATGATAAGACTGTGTCGCAGTCACATTACATGACGTGGACACCAACATATCTGGGCATGAAATGGGAATTCCTATCAATCCAAAAAGTATACACTAAAATTTTATTAAAAAGTATTGACAAAAAAATTTACTGAGCGAAATTCCAACCAACACGCCGGATAAGTCCAGTCCTAAAAATACTTTAGTAAGAGCACATACAACTATCAATTTGTGACCGGAAATGCTGTTTCGCATTTCGGAGGTATGTAGATTTCAGGGGAGCCCAAAGAATCTTCGACTCTCCGTGGTCTGTAATAAAAATTCAGTGATTGGCTTACAAGAACTGGTTTCGTCATAAAAGTTGGTGTAGTATCTCAGTGAACTATTGTCGTGACCCCTAGTATGAAATATTTCATCGCATAGATTCATTTCAAAGCTATTTTGGACATATTCGGGATTAGTGTTGGTAAATCGTCGAATTTTCACCCGAACCGTTCTCTGTTGTATGGAGAAGTATCGTGAACTCAGTTTACTCCAATAATCTGAAATAGAAGCGGCGTGTGAGCGTCTACTAAAAATATTCATCTCCGTTCTGTTGGAAGCTATCCGACAAAAGCATTAGCATCCACCATTTGGAAAGTCACGTTTAGACCTAAGCACCTCAGAGACTTCAATTCGTACATCATGCAACCGTCGTAACAAGTGATGGTTTCATTGGTGTTTATCCAGCGACATGTGATATTCTACTGAAAATTTATTACATATATTCAGTAAACCGAATGTGACTGTGCAGTACTGAAGTGCTCTATGAACCACGTGTGTGAAAACAGGAACTTCATACTGGAAGAAATGCATTTTTCACTGTTGGATGTATACCAGTCAGTATGTTACACTGGGGTCTTTTATGGAGGTAACAATTAGAAGAAGGAAGTTGTCTGCGTCTGTCCTTAAGTCATTGTGGTTTCCATCAAATTATAGGGTCGCATACTTGTATTATAATGGCGGAAGACAAGAGGAATAAATTTTTGAAATTCTATGTGCACATATATACACTTGTCTGCAGTCATCTTTGTCTTGACTTATTTTACTTCAGTAGACGAGAAATAATTCAAAAGAAAACTTCCCCTCACATCACTGACACGGTTTGAATACAGTTCACAATCTCAAAAAATCACAGTACTCCTTTGGCCTCCCTAAAATTTACGACCGTGAATTGGCGCGTCAAACCATGCATATCACCGAAAAAGTTCAAACAGCCGGTTTTTTGTCTCCAAGAATAGGACGCATATAAGTAAGTTTGTTTCATACTACTCGAATGTTGAATATTGAAGGTTGCGCAACGATACGGACGTTGCGTTACCACCTGTTCGGTAGGTGTTCTGTTGTTAGCGTTCTCTTTTGAGTAGTGTTTTATACATTTGTAAACACTTTGCATTCTTAAGACTCATTCGAACATGAGGAACATCAGTGTACAAGTGAAGAGTATTTTATACCTAATTATATGTCAACAGAACTAAAGAATGTGTATATGTCTTCTGTAGTTTCTCGGAATAATTTTAATCGATTCTTGTTGGACTGTTGAAAGAATCTGATCAGACATGTGCTCGCCATGGGCATATATATGAGGAGGAAAACGTGAAGGGTTAGAGAAACACTGAAGTTAAACTTATTAGACCATGACGAAGGCTAAAATAACAATGGAGACCAATAAACCAAATAAAGTAGATAGTGCATATAATCTGGTATAAATGCAAAGATTACCGAGGGAGTTTTAATGTGGTGAACGCGTAGAGTCTGCTTAAACTTCATTATCACCAGGGATTCTTCAAACTTTGAAATACACACCAAGCGTCTTGTTGATAGTTTCTAAAGAGCTGTCAACATCAGTGTCTGTACTCTATGTATTACAATGGAGCAACTAGGTCGTCTGTCTTCACTATGCATGGTTTCAGGAAATTCGGCTTGCTTCTGAAATCACTTAGGGATATTTTGTGAAGCCCATATTCACTGAGATCGACGAGTCCTACCTCTATATATATGCGTAACCACGCGTGCATTTGAAGGGAGATGTGATATCATTTTTCGTATGTTTTGAGGGCTTAGATGTATATTTGTGGTTTGCATTCTCAATTATTCAAATCTTAGTGCATAAATTGTCTTTTTAACCACAGCCATCGTACTTTTTCTAGTTACTAAGCTGCTATGATCATCCATATAGGATACCTTTATGTATATCTCCTGGACATAACCGATGTCTATCTGTCACTCCTTAACGCTTTGTTATTTTCATATATCATATAAAAAATACGTGTTGTGATAAGATTGTTCGAAATGTGTTGTGCAAATGTATTACACGATCTAGATGAATTACGTTTTCTTGTTGTTTTGTAAAGATTCACAAAAAGATCTTGTTTCAAATATTTCAGCCACATATCTTAATAATAATTTGACTATATATAGTCTAGAAATATAGGTTCTCTTCTCAGAGTTGGGTAGAATTCAATATAATTTACGCCAGAACTCTGTTTCTTCGAAAAAGTTCCCTTGATCATTTTCTCCTGTGATACATTCCTCTAGACACGTATCGTCTATCGTTGTGCGAATAACTTCTGCTGACCTTAAGCCTGGATCTAAGGTTGCCTGTGGTTATCTTTGTATCTTATCTTTGAAGCCGATACCTGTTGATCCTGTAATGATTTCCAGATTTTCGGCTAACGTATCCGAGCAACTGAATTTAACCTGTTTGTCTGACCTTAGTGTATTCATCTTTTTGTAGTGGCTTGTTAGGTATCTTGGAAGGAGAAAAAAATATTGGAAAATATTTAAGTCGTCATTTAATATAAGACGACTCCTACAGCATTATAATGAAGATACATAGATTTTCCTCCCTCTTTCCATCAGGAAGATGCGAGATTCTTTTAAATAGCGTGACGTTTGTCCTTCGTGCTTTCTCTAAGACTTGTGCTCCATTAAAGAATGAACTCGGGGTCTTCATGCAATATTTTAAGTGAGGTCCTGCATACTTAGAGTACCTTAAGAATGCGTAGTGTGTGAGGAGTGGATCTATACGGTATGTTTTAAAATGGATTTTCTAAGTGGGTTTTTCATCAGAACCTTTCAGCTTAAGATGCTTTAGTTCTCACTGAGATGTGTACCTTGTAAATTTAATTACGCAGTCATTTGAATTCTATTTCACCCTTATAGTGGGTTTGATTCCATTGCCATTGAGAATAAATAAAGCCAAACAATGGGTATTGTCTCCGGGCCTGGGTAAGATGCGGGCACCATCAAGCTGTAAATCAAAAATCAAAATCAAAATCAAACCATCATATAAACTGTAAGCCAACTAATTTTATAACTAAACAGAGAACGAAGTCCCACTTTAACTGTCAATTAAATGGTGTTTTGAGCTCTAGAATTTCGTATTTACTGTTATGTTACTATTAACTGCATAGTAGTCTCTGCGGACTTCAGACTTTCTGGAGTTAGCCAAAACATATTCAGTGAACCTGCAAGTTACATTAAGCTCCTTCAGTCTAAAGATACCTGTAGAGGAAGGCAATGCTGCACTTGCCGACTCCATATAGTGAAACTCTTCAATTAATCCTGTCATAATATCTTGGTCTTGTCAGTACAAGTAGACGATAAACTCAAATGGTGTTTTAAATTTCTACTCGCTTAAAGTTACAGTAAATTTTTCGTGATTTTCTACTTCTTTAGGGATACTATTCCAGATGTCTTTGTATTCGGTTTTGATTATAGTCTACATGAAAATATTATCTGTCTTTGATCATAGGTGCCTGCGCTTTAACTCCCGTGGGGAGTGGTATAATAAGGTGAGGAATATTGAAGTTAGACGTCGAGTGCTAGGTAAGGAGGAGAAATCAATCGATGAGGCTGTGAAATTACATCGACTGAAATGGTTAGGACATGTGTTACGTATGTCTAGTCATCGTCTTCCTCGATAATGGGCAATGTTAGCTGACATAGGGTCAGTCTGGAAAAGAGCTAGTGAAGGTCAAACCAAAACATGGCTTCATCAGTCAATGAAGTCCACAACAGTTAGTTTAAGCCAGCTAGTCGCGTAGGAAGGTGTGGCCTTCTTGACTGATTGGGGTCCTCGGGACGTTAAAAACCAATGGCTGGAAGTGATCGTTCTCAATGCCTGGCTGGCGCAGATGCATTCACTCCTTGTGACTTGTGATTTCCAATGAAACTATATTGTTCTTCATTATTACTATTCCTTTATCTCACACCTCTGTTTACTGTCTCTAATATGCATTTCTTCTACTTTCTTCTCTTACTTTGTGTGCTACAAGGTGTGGAGTGTGGCGACTTGAACTGCCACACATCGGTGCAAAGTTCTATGTCGAAAATAGACAGACAGACACTAATTTAGGTTCGTTGTCATTTTCTTCTTACAAAATGGTTTTTTTTCATCTTAAACAGAATGTTTCTACTGCTTATGTCAACTACAGTAAGGCTCTACGATATAGCATGCTCTTTAATTGCTTCTAGCTAACTACATTATATTCTTATAGGTTATAAATGTGTTTAATAGCTTTATCGACAGCTGTGATGAAGCTATCTTCCTGGATTCCTTTAGTAACCACTACCAATCAATTGACATCAAATCGTTCCCAAATCATGATCAAATTATCCGTAATAGTTGGTAATATGCTAACAGAGACCGAACATTCCGGCTTAGTTAATTCGAGTGACGGGAAGTTAGACATTTCCGCTCCTAATATCTATAAAAAATTTGCCGCCGCATTTCTTTGCATTCCGAGTAGAACATAAAGCTTTGAGCTTTGAAGTACCAGTAGCGATGGTGACGTTGCTAGCTTCATGCCCTACGTTCCTTCTTTTCCGGGCTTAGCACAAGCTAGGCGAGTTATAGTAGTTCGTTGGCTGAAAGTCCAACCCAAGCAATGTGCTTGGTTAGCGAGCGTTCCAATATCCAATATCATTTTTACGAGCTAGTATAAACCAATTTGATTTCTTTGTGCTCGCTTCTTGATTGTAAGGTATAGGTTCCTGATCTTCGGTAAACTTCTGCGTAGCTTGTCCCGCCACTCGACTGTCGTAGCTTTGGTTGACTCCAAAGGGAGTAGTGCTGGGATTAAGTATATGTGGTTTGTAGTATGAGGTATGTTAAGACTGTTACTACTGTGATTGGAGTTGATCCTTTCACCAGTTAGTCCTCCGGTATCGTCGTCAAAAGAAACGATAATAATAATAGCGTTGTCTTATAGCACATCCATTTTTCTACATAGAACTACTTGCCTGTTTTTCCTAAAGACGTTTCCAATGCTTATGCATTTGATATACCTACAGAATTTTCTTGTAGAAACATAATAAAAACAAAACATGTAGTTCAGCGAAGTCTCCTTTTGGCGAATTCATTTTCTTAGCTGTACTATCACAAATATATTTGAGTTATTTTGCATGTATGTGTGTACATTAAGTTTGTCAGACAAAAATACAATTGGTTATAATTATTTTAACTAAAGGAGTGAGAGTTAGTCGGTTTTGAGCTGAGTTACGTAAAACACAAGCGGTCCAGAAAATTGAATGTTAATGAAACTAGGGTAGTGACAGAAGTGATGAGTTGTCACAAACAGTTGTTAAAAAAGAGTTACGGAGTAATATGAATATTTTGATGGTTGAGTTTTGCCCAGGATGCATATAGAAACAAAGTAAGGAATACGAAATTACGTGAGAGTTCTAAATGAATATACAAGAATTATAAGCAATTAAAGAAACAAGCAAACAAACAAAATTAAGTCATCAAAAAAGCAACAAAGTTGTTACCGTGATAGTAGAACTGGTTGTCTGTCTGTCTGTTTTCGACATAGAACTTTGCACAAATGTGCGGAAGTTCAAGTCGCCACATTCCGTGTAGCACGCGAAGCAAGAGAAGAAAGTACAAGAAAAGCATAATAGAAACAGTGAGCAGAGGTGTGAGACAAAGGAGTAATAAAGAAATACAAAACAGTTTCATTGAAGATCATAAGTCACAGGGAGTGGATGCATCTGCGCCACTGAGAACGATTTTGAGCCATGTCACCAATTGTTTCCAACCATAGATTTTTACCGTCCCGAGGACCCCAGCCTGGAAGTCTACACCTTCCTACGTGGCTTAGACCAACTGTTGTGGATTTCATTGACTGATGCCAAGTTTTTGTTTGACCGCCGCTAGCTTTTTTCCAGCCTGACCCTATATCCGCTAACATAGCTCGTCGAGGGAGGCGATGGCTTGGCATACGTAACACATGTCCTAACCATCTCAGTCGATGTAGCTTCACGACTTCGTCGATTGATTTCCCCTGTTTACCTAGAACTCTACGCCTAACCTCCATGTTGCTCA